ATAGATCCCGCTGCTCCGAAGGGGACGCTTTCTGTCAGCGCGTGTGAGCGCGATCGCGGGGATCTCGATCGGGCGTGTACGTGTGGCGTGTGCCCTGCCGGGCAGCGCGATTGGCCTCCGCCTGCCAACGCGAAGCGAAGGCTGGTGGGCACGTATATATACCGCGCTTCCCTGGGCCTCCCGCTTTCCTGCCCTCTTCTGCCTGCGTCGATGATGCCCATGCCCATGCCCCGTGCCCGCCACCCCGCCCTTCCCCGTGCACCCCTCCCCATCCACCTCGACCTCCCCACCAGCCCTCGTCTCCCCCCCGTCGCCCCCTCTCGCTGTCCTCCCCTGCGCGACGTCGACCCGCCCTCCCCATCGCGGGCCGCCGTGCCCGCGCCGCGCGGCTACCCCGCCCCGCCAACCGGCCACGAGCTCATGGCGCTCTTCCCTGGCCCCCCCGCCCGGCGCGCCCGAGCTCCCCGCCGGGCGCCGACCAGCGGCTACTTCGCCCGCCAGGAGCGCGCCTTCTTCGCCCAGGCCGGGCGCCCGGCGTCGTCCGCGTGAGGCTCGACATCAACATGCCCCACCACAAGAGCCGCCGGCCCGCCGCGGTGACCAGCCTCCCGAAGCCGGGGCTGGGGACGACGCCAGTGCCGACGCCCGTCCCCGCGCCGCTGTACATACCCGCGAAGGTGCCTCCGACCCCGCCGGCGCAGCACCAACAGCGGGCACGCTCGGCGTCCAGCGCGACGACGACGCCGCCCACGCCGACCGACGAGCCCGACATGGAGGACGACGAGCGGGAGCAGGAGCGGGACGACGCGTGGCGCCGGCCGATCCCGTACAACGAGCGGCGGCGCGCGGGGAAGCACACGCGCCGCGTCGTCGTGCGGTAGCGGTAGCCCTTGCTTTTTGGTTCTTGCATTCTTGGCCATCATCAGGAAAGGACAACTTCTCTACCTATTGCACTGTAGCTTCAGTAGCAGTAGTAGCATGGTAGACAAGTCCTGCAATCTGAGGCACCTGGTAGCATCCACTCCAGGTCTGGTAGCAACTGGTAGCAACTGGTAGTGTGAAGTGCAACATATGATAGCATCTGGTTGCTAACTGTCTATACTACCAGAACTTATATAGAGACACTGAATGGGCAGACAAATTAATCAATTGAAACTAACTAGCTCTATTATAGATAAGAAAATATCATTCACCCGCCTCTATTGCTTGCTGCAGATCCGCGAGCTCAGCTCTCAGCGCATCCTCCTGTTCCGATGTAATATTACTGGGTCCAGCCGAAAGGGTGTCGTCGACAGCAAATGAGGCTCTACAGAAGGTCAGTACATGGTATTAGGCTGCTAGACAACTTACAGGAGCTTCTCGGCCCAGCGGCGGCGCAGGTTCGTGGTCACTGCCTCATTGAGCTGATTCCACCGCTCGATATCCGCCAGATGACCCCGGTACTTGGACGCAAATGCCTTTTCGGAGAACTGGGTCTGGACAAAGGGAGTATATACGAGAGTAGTGCTGGCCAGAATTATATTATGCTTGATTAAATATTGAATATATTCAGAATATTATGAATATATTATGCACTTTGTGGATCACTTGAATATGATTATGTTTGAATATATTATATTATATTATGGCTATACTATATTATATTCGCAGAATATTCAACTATAGTAAGGTAGATGATTACAGCTATTTTCTCAGTCTATGTACTCAGTCATAGTACTAATCTTAGTCTGAGTTAGCCCTACTTCTGATAAATGTCACATATTATCTATTATATATGGTGATTCATACATTACCCTTAGTAGGAACAAATGTCAGGAGTGATCACTTTGGGTTGACCTATTAAACATAGTGTAGGACCTCTGATCAAGTATCTACTGGCTAACCTAAGACTAGTGACAATGCCCCTGATTGTATTTTGAGAGTCCTATGTAACCCAGGGAGGCCCAAAAGGAAGTTGCACTGACAATCCAGCATGTATTTTATGTTTTTGATCCCTTTTTCTAGCAGCAAATATGTCAAACATATCAAGAGGTATGCATACTAGATTATAGTTGAATATATTCATAACATATTCATATTTCACAGCTGAATATGATTATATTATACTACAAATATATTATTGGGTTGGAGCTCTGAATATGATATGATTATAATATATTATGCCCATAAAATAATATAATTATATTTGGCCAGCACTATACGAGAGTAGTGGGACTGGGACTGGGACAATGGGACTCGAGTCCCACTTTTCCCAGTCCCAGTCACATCCCCGAGGGGCCCGGAGTGGGACTCAGTGAATCAATATCATCCGCATTGATGGATCGAGACATGTCGCATCACGTCGGTTGCGGCGCCGGCCGGGGTTTTCCACCCAGACCCCGACCAGGGCCTTGCCCTGGACCCACCCTGCCGGGGGCTTCCGCTCGCCGCGTGGCCCGCTGCGCTGAGCGTGGGGTCCATTTCCGGCGTGTTTCATCCTCTTTTGGATGGAAGCATGCAGAGTGGCGGCGCCGGCCGCGACGGCCGGGGTTTTCCACCCCGGACCCCGACTAGGGCTTCGCCCCAGACCCCACGCTGCCGCGGGCTGCCGCTCGCCGCGGAGGCCCACTGCGTGGTGCCTTGTACATCTTTTTTGATTGATTTAAATTTTTGATTGATTCTGATTGTCTTGCTAGTCTTCGGCTAGGTGTTCTCGGCGCCGCGAGAGTGAGACTCACCCCATCAAAGTGGGACTGAGCGCATCAAAGTGGGACTGGGTCCCATTGTGCGAGTCCCAGTCCCACTACTCTCGTCACTCCTCGGACAAAGGACCCTGTCTCCCATTCACGCACACACATCTCGAGCTGAGATTGATGTTAGTCATATGAAAGCTACCCAATAGATGACTCACCGCGGTAAACTCCAAGGCCATGAGAGACAACGGGATGGGGTTGAACCTTGAGCGAAGGACAACGCCAACCGCTTTCGAGTTCTTGAATGTTGTAAGCTCGCGAACGGTTGTGATGATCGCGTTCTCCCCGTAGCCTTTTCGATTAACAGTGTCCTCGGAAACTAAGTCAGTAAAATTCATCGAAAAATGCAGGACATACTCGATAGTGATATGCAGCACCAGTGAGTAGCTGCTCCGCGAGAGCCTTATTCTTTGCAATCACATCCGCCGTCGTTTCCGCGAACCATACCAAATAAGGTAGTGAATACCTTGCAACAATGTTCGATGATCTTGCCGCGCGACTGTGATCCACGCGCCGTCAGCTAAGGAAGAGTATCAGAAGACTCTCTGGATATACAAACAAAAGGCGGAACTCACCACCTTCCCGATGCGGCGACTGTATTCCAGACGCTCGCGTGCTGCTTTGCCGGCAGCCTTGAGCGACTCCTTTGCCATCGTGACCTGCTCGATTGGAGTTGGGTAACCGTTGACCGCCAAGATGCGGCCAGAGTACTCCAGACAGCTGCGAAGAATCACAGCTTGGTCAGTGGGCTCGTAGTCGCCAGCCTTGGGTTTGACGCCTTTGATATCAGTAACCCCGTCGCGAAAAATGGCAGCGCGCGCAACTGGTTTTGCAGAAATGGCGGACGGTGTTGCAACTGGTGGTGAATTCGAATTGACGGTAGATGAAGCCGTGGATGGAGTGGACAACGAGGAAGGTGCTGGTGGCGGCGACCCCGGTGGCGAGCCACGGGTTGGTGGAAGAGGTGTGGGGGAGGAGGGAGTGTCGTCGTCAGTATTGAACAAGTCTGCTGGGGGCACCTCCGGAAGCTGCAGGAAACGTGTTTTTTTGGGCCTTGGTTTCGCTCCAGCCTTTCGCGCGGGCTTGAGAACAATAGGTTCTTGCTCAGGAGGGTGGATAGTGTCCAGCGCCGTGATCTATGTGAGTTAATGCCGAGAAATTCGCGAGATAAAGACGCACCCGCTTGGATAGATGAATGGGAAACTCGTCATCTTCGTGTCCCAGATCCATGCGTTCCTCGCTCTCGCAGTCTAGTGGATGGTAAGCGAGAGGACAAGCGTGAAGATGAATGATACCGCACCTGAGTCGGGCGCCGTCGTCTTCTTCGCTCGGGATTTGGCCTTTTCGAGGGCTTGAGCGAGTTTTTTTCGCTTCTTCTCCGCCTTGTCGAATTCGTGCTGCAAGGCAGCGAGATTTTCTTTGTCTGTCAATACAGTAAGTGAGTGAAAGCAACCATTGGACAAGAGCTGACCGTTGTGGGCCTGCTTTTGCGACGATGTGCGGGCACGCTTTGCTGGGGGCTTGTCGAGACCGCCAGGGCTCCGGCTACGTGTAGGCAATGGCACGGGTAGGCCATACCCGGCGCGGGTACGCGGGTTTTACCCGTGCGGGTACGGGTACGGGTCAGTGCAGCCCTTACCCGTCGCTTCCTGACTCAGCTGGTTTCCCTCGTGGTTGGTGGTCGAGAGGTTCTCTGTTCGAGTCTGGATTTGTATTCCATTTTACCGCACATTTCTGGCGTACTTTGGACACTAATCACAGTCTCGGCACCATGCCTTCTTGACTCCCTGCGCCACCCGTGGGTAAACCCATACCCGTACCCGCGGGTATGGGTACTGTGGCTGTGCGGGTAAGGGTACGGGTAGGCCCTCGGATACCCGTGGGTATACCCGTGCCATTCCCTAGCTACGTGGTGTTTTACGCTGAGGGAGGACAGCCACGTCGGATTCGTCGTCATCGCTATCATAGACGACGCGAGCCATGTTTTTGAGGGGAGGGGAGGCGAAGTGGTGGAGCGAAAGGAAGACGTGGCCGCCAACGCATCCGCAGTCAGTCACATTCCGGCGGCTTGTCCATACTGCGCTGCTTTGCTGGACACAGAGCAAGGGCGGCGCTCCCATATTGCGCAAACAGCACATTGCTGCCGGAAACAAGAAGAAGATCTTGGGGTTATCAGTTGGAGCTCAGACGACGAAGATGAGGAGGATACTTTGGTGGAGGGGGTGGATTCGCTGGGTGTGAACGAATGGCCGATAGAATCCGAGAGCGATGAAGATATGCCCCGTGCGGATCCTCCCGCAGAGATTGGGAACGACGGCCTCGCTTCAGAACCGGGGCTTGGAGATAAACGGGGGTCGAGCGGCGTCAGTAGAGGAGGTGGAGGATGAAGAAGAGGGAGAAGTGTATGAGCAGGAGTTTCCGGAGGAGAAACAAGCGGGAGCAGCATATCGTGGCTGTAAAACCCAATTCGAGCAGCTTCGGGAAGAGCAGAAGGCCAACGGCTGGGAGCCGTGGAATCCATTCAAGGACCTCGACGAATGGGAGCTTGCTCGATGGATGGCGACTTCTGGATTGAGTCAGGGAAAGATGACCGAGTTCTTGAAGCTGAAAGTGGTGCGTACATTTGTCACCTCCAAAGCCAAACATCTCATCTGGCCAGATCCAGGACAAGGTCCAGCCGTCCTTTACCAACACCCAGACATTCTTCGAGCTCATCGACTCGCTTCCCTCTGGTCCTCGCTGGTCCTGCACACCATTTGTTTTGACTGTCGACAAAGTAGGCCTCGACGGCGAGCAAAAGACGATGACGCTTGAGTTCTGGCATCGCAACATTCTTGACTGTGTGCGGGAATTACTCGGAAACCCTCAACTTGGCGACCAGGCATTTGAGCCCCGCCGTATCTTTACTTCAAAGAGCGAGGCTGGAGTTGGTGTAAACCGCGAGTATAGTGAGATGTGTACTGGGGATTGGTGGTGGGAGACACAGGTAAGTTTTCGCCTTCAACCTGAAGCGTCATTTCACTCACTTTTGTCCTCTACAGCTCAAGCTTCCGATTGGCGCCACCATTTGCCCACTGATTATCGCCTCCGACTCCACTCAGCTAACACGATTCAGTGGCGACCAGAAGGCGTGGGCCGTGTATCTTGGGAGCGGCAACAGTGACGCCGATATTCGAAGCAAGGCCTCGTCTGGTGCGACGGTTTTGCTCGGATACATTCCAGTCGCAAAGATGGAAATGTTTGCGAAGGAACGACGCTCGGAGATCATCCACCAGCTTTTCCATGACTGTATGGCGACTGTACTCCAGCCTTTGAAGGATGCGGGGCTGGATGGGGTGGCGGTCGAGTGTTACGATGGCTTCGTGAGAATGATTCATGCCATTCTTGCCGCCTATATCGCCGACTATCCGGAGCAGTGTCTCGTCGCCTGTGTCCGCGAAAACTCATGTCCAATCTGCCTTGTTAATCCCAGACAACGCGGAGAGTATGATAAGGACAATCCTCCCGATCCTCGGAACCGTGACGATACCCTCCGAGTAATTGCTGCGAAGTCCCAAGGCGAGCATCCACCAGAGTTTATTGAGCAGAATCTTCACCTGACACGACCATTCTGGCAAAACCTCCCCGAAACCGACATCTTCTCTTCGTTTACGCCAGATCTTCTTCATGAAATTCATAACGGTGTTTTTGGCGATCATATCGTTGCCTGGTCAAGTGCTGCGATGGAGGGTGTGGGGCCATAAATTGACCGTCGTTTCCGTGCGATGCCGCGTCACCCATCCCTTTGACATTTCAAGAAGGGAATCACCTTAACGAGTCAATGGACAGGGAAAGAACACAAAAATATGGAGAAAGTCTATCTTGGTGTCCTTGCGAATGCAACCGACCGTCGTCGCGTTATTCTCGCGGTTCGTGGGCTGCTCGACTTCACATACTATGTGCACTTCAAAGTTCATACTGATGAGTCGCTTGCACTTATGGAGCGGGCGCTGGAGAACCTTCACGAGAACAAGGCAGTATTTGAAGAGCTGGGAATCCGCGAACATTTCAACATTAGCAAGCTTCACAAACTCTTACATTATATCAAGTCGATTCGAGCACGTGGAATTGCACCTGCCTTTAGCACCGAACTCTCAGAACGGCTGCACATCGACTTCGCAAAGGCGGGCTACCGGGCGAGTAACCATCGCGACTACATTCCCCAGATGACGAAATGGCTTTCGCGACAGGAGAAAGTGCGCAAGTTTTCGACTTTTCTTGAATGGACATTACCAGCATATGAAGCGGAGTTCATTAGACTTCAAGCTGATGATGCGCTCGAGCCGGATGATACCCTGCCTGTCCAACGGCCCACCTCTCCATCTCCTCCGCCAACAGCCACACTTATTCACAGTATTGCAAAAAATCCACCATTCACACTACGAGCTGACTTCATTGCACGTGAATTCCATGCACCATTCTTTCTTTTCCGACTTCGGGATTTCCTCCGCTCCCGCTCGATCTTGCCACGTGGTGACCTGTCAGAAGGCTCTTCATTTCCGGTGTACAAACAACTCGCACTTTCCATCCCGCCAGTTGCAGAGGTCGGTACAACAGTACTTCTTGACAAAATTCATGCTATTGCGCGGCGAGAATCGGGAAATCGAAAAGATGGGAGGGTTGTTGAAACAAAGCCAGCTCAATTTGACACCGTCCTTGTTCGAGTCAACGGTGGCAATCAAGAACTGGATCCTGCAAAGAGTGAGTCATTTTCTCATATTTTCAAGATTTGCTGACAAATCGAAATATAGAGTACCGCGCTGCCCGCCTTCGTGTTATCTTTCGTGTTCCCGAGATATATGGATCTGTCCATGAGCCATTGGCATATGTGGACTGGTATAAACCATTATCCCGCTTTAACTCAGATCTCGGAATGTATGAAATCTCATTGTCTACACAGATGAATCAGCAACGCTCCGAAATCATCCCAATAACCAGCATTCTCCAATCATGCCATCTCATACCAGTGTTCGGCAAACAAATCAACCCAAAATGGGAGTCAGATTTTGTTCTTGACCAATGTTCACAATTTTATCTCAACCCATACCTACGGCATCACGACTTCTATATTCTCCGATATCTTCCAGAGCTGGAAGCAAAACGGAAGGCCGCAGAAGCACGACGTGTGCGTATTCGCCAATTAGGAAGGGCAGGGCGATTTAATACATAATGTGTATAGACTAGTATTATGTTACATCTTTTATCACTGCTACTGGCCTCAAGGGTGTGGCAACCAGCTGCAATCAGTTGCTACCTAGTGTCCTGCAATCACTACCACACCTACCATGGCTACCATACCATGGCTATCATGGCTACCAGGCTTTGGCTGGTAGCATGGTAGCAATAATCCCTTTCCTGATGATGGTGCGTCGTTTGTATGTTAGAAGGGAGAGGGCCGCTGATGCAGTGGGTAGCTCTCGCCGTGTGTACATATCCCCCACCCATCCATCGATACCTGCCCACCCGCTGTACCCTCTATCCTTATCGCCAATCTCAGCCCATCTCTTGCCCCAGCTAAGCCTCGCGCCGCCGGCCTCAGGCTCCTGGACCCGCCTTGCGCTGTTACAGTGTTAAGCTTGCCGGACACTGGCAGGCGCAGGCTTCGATCGCCCTAATCGACGCGTCTAAGCCACCCTTACCACCTGAGCACGATGAATGAGTCAATAAGAACCCAGGCCCGCGAGGCTAACCGAAACACGATCGATCGCCGGCCGGCGCTTTTACCCTCGCAGTTAAGCAGTTAATTATACTCAGGATTCTATACGACTCGCTCTCGTACGCGGCAACCGCCGTGCGTGTGCGTGTGCGTGCGACAGCCTGAGCCACATCCCGACTTCTCTCCATCACACCCGTCGTCATGCACCGCAGAACCCTACCCGCGGGAGCAAAGCGCACGCAGTAGCTTCCGCGTCCTTCCGCGCCGGCGGCTGCTGGGAGCGCTACAGCCGATCTCCATTTCCCTCCTGACGACGCCTCCCGTGCGCACATCTTCCTCGCGCCGGCGCGTCATTGTCGGCTGCTCCGGACCGCCGGCGCCCCGGATCTCCGCTGCCCAGCCCTCCGTCCCGGCCGCACAACACACAAGCGCAAGGCCAGGGCCCTCCATGGCGACGTCATCAGGCACCGCGCCTCGTGGATCTGCTCTCCTCGATGGAGGAAGAGGGAGGGCCGGGGAGGGAAGCCGCTTCAAGTTCCAAGGTGGAAAGGGCAAGTGCGAAGTGCGATCGGGCGAGAAGCAAGGGGCGGACGCGCTAAACGCAACGCTATCTGACAGCCCCTGGGCCGCTCCACGGCCCACCGCAGGCAAGCAGATCGGGAGCACTGGCAGATCGAGGCCTGCCTGCCTACAGCTCGCAGACTGCAGACAGACGGACGGCTCGCGCCGAGACGCCGCACGGGCAGACAGCATCATCACATGCCCGTCGACGGACGACGTTTCACGCCAAGTGTCACCCGCGACGTGGCACATGGCAGCGCGGGCATCGCGGGAGCAGAACGGTGCCAGTGCCCCACCCTCAGTACCACTGGTGCGCGATAAGGGAGCAACGCGCGTGCTGTGGAGAGCAATATCGACACATCCCCCATATCGATATATCCCCCATATCGCTTGATCCTGGACCCCGGGCCCGGCGCGCGGATCGCCGGCGGGTCGCGTGCGGGCACGGATGCGGCGAGATGAACCGCTATTGCCGCGCTGGGCGTGCTATTCATTGAGAACAGGGTTTGCGGGGCGGTGCGTGCGAGCGGCGGCGATTGGGGGCTGCAGGGCGATTGCGCGGCCAGCGAGGCGCGGAGACGACTCTGATTGTCGACAAGGCCAAGACAGAATGAGGGAAATTCTGTGCGTTGAGTTGCCGGCGGCGCTGGGATGGTCAACCTTGAGGCGCGGCATTGCAATTACGACCGTGCCGGGAGGAGAGGGAGGCAGGGCAGCGAGCGAGTTACGGGAGGAGAAGCACTCGAATCAGAGAATCAGCGAGGCAGTGTTGCGGGAGTACTGCAGCCTTGTGGCCGGAATCGTTGACGAGGGGGACGGCTAACGATTGGTGGGCTATGGCGGCGTTGCGAAGTCGATTATGTGATATGTACCGTGGTTGGACGATGGTTCATGCGAGGGGCGGATGCTGAGCCCGATACCAAGCGCGATGGGAGATACAACCTAGCGTCCAAGTATGGCGATTATAAGACGGCCGAAGCGAGGCTGTGGCGCGAGTCCAAGTCAGGATCCCGCCATATGCATGTTCAATGTGATTGTCGGGTTCATTAGCGGCCAACCGTGAACGTGCCGCTAATGCAGTGATATTTCCGTCTTGAAGCGCTCAATGCCTCTGCAGGCAATGTGTTCGCTAGTTAGACACGATGGGCGGAAGATAATGCTATCGTCCAACAGCAATACTGCAACCTGGGGCTCGGAGATTGGGACAGCGCCACGCAGTTCGGCGATAATCACAAATTATCACCAACTGACAGGCATAGAGACCGAGACCGCGAAACTGTAATATTCATCAGCAGCGTGAAGCCCGTGAAGCAGAAAACATTTTGCAAGCCGCAGTCTTCGCGTGCAGAGGTGTGAAACACGACTCACCGCTCGGAAAGCGCCGGCTTGGAAGGAAGACGCATAGAGGGCTTCGGGAGATTCGCCTGCCTGTCGCCTTACGCGCGGGTGGATCTATTTTCGGTGCAGTTGGGAGGGCGGCGCAGGCAGAAGAGGACCGCAGGACCAGGGATTGCGTGAGCCACAGCGGCTGTCGCTAGAAGCCAGCGTGGCAAAAGGGTGCAGCTACACAAGCTCGGCCACCAATATTTGCCCAGAACGTCTAACAGCGATCAGCGGCCGTATCGACCGGGAAGAGGCCCCAGGCGGCGCTTAAGGAAGCAGTAAGGGTCGAAGTCTGAGACCAGGCAGTACCGCTCAGCGCGTTCGTAGGCTCCATGCGATGAGCAACGGCGGTGCGTAAGGAGTTGCCTCCGACGTCAAGGAAGGCCGCCCGCCTGCTTGCTGCCGCGGAATCAACGAAGAACTCTCGAGGATGAAGAGAAGTAGACCCACATACAGTACATGTATCGTTGCAGCACGTCCAGCTGCGGCTGGAACACCGGGTTGTCGTCCAACTCGCGCGCCGGCGGGGGCGGCACCGGCACAACGTCTTAAATCCGATGGCCAGCGGCGCCACAGGGTCACCACGCCTCCGTATTGCTTCTCGCGGCGTCGCGCCGCGCCCGCACGCTCTGCTTGCACCGTCCATGGCGGCGAGTTCTGCACAGAGGGGCGATCAGGAAAAATGGCGGGGTAAGGAGACATCAGAACGCGGCGCACCTCCTATTCGCGACCGCCCCCCACGATCCCGCCTCGTTCTCGCAAAAGTCGACTCCGCCAATTGCAAACCCGCCGTCATGACCATGCCTCTCTCTGGTGAGGCGAGCGTGTCTCCCGCGCAGACACAGAAGGGACGGAAGCTACCCCGGTCGGAGGAGGGAAAGCGTTGACGGAGATGGGGTAGATGGCGGGTGGAGGGATAGCGAAGGTACAGACCGGGGCCCATTGCGCGTGTCGCGGAGGCAATCAAGACATCGGCCATGTTGACTGTTCCCCCCATCTTGAGAGACTGTCTGCGTAAGCCGCGCGGCCTTGAGCAAAGCTGACGACGTGTTCTGCATTATTGAACCGGTGGCATAAAGAGAACTGTAGCACCGGACGCACCTGGAGCTGCCCCGCGATCCCCTTCGATCCCCCCATCTCCTGCCCAGTCTCCGCTCCACACCATCCCGCCTAGTGTTCGCGAAAGGCAGAGTCGACGACGCCAGTTTCAGACCGCGACGCCAGTTCAAGCCCGCAAGCGCTACCCTAGACGTCTACGGAGACGTCTACGGCTGCGGGCATGCGCGCAGATACGGAGGGAAGCCAGTGGAAGTAGGGAAGGCGGTGATGTAGATGCTGTCGATGGCGAGAAGTGGAAGGCGGAGACTGTGTCCGTGAAGAACGCGCGCTATTGTGTATATCATAGACGTTCATGTGCTGTTCCACAATATCTTTGGTGAATATTGTCTGCGTGAGCCGTGCCGCCTTGTGCGAAGCTAAGCACAAGTTCTGCGCGTGAAGGACGTCGCGGTGAAAGAGCTGCAGAGCGGACTTAATCCCCTTTGCCACTTTCCTCCCGTTCCTGCGCGTCACCATCCCGCCTAAAGACGGGGGAGCTTCGATTCGAATGCGAGCAGAAACATTGAGGGAGAAGCCAAGCCACCGTGGCTGCTGACGTGGCACCGGCTATTGGAACGCCAGCGCCGGGCCCTTCTCTCTTCCTCTCCACGCGGACGAGTACGATGCGCTCGTCGCGCTCAGGCCCTTTCGTGTTCTGCGTCGCAGAGGTGGACACCAGTGCCGGCCCGACCGTCCTCCCGCCGCGAAAACAGTTTCGTATCGGTTTTCTCCTGCCGTAAATGGGCCGGGAGACGACGCAGGCGTGAAGAGTGGCTGTAAGCGCGAGAATTGAGCCGGACACGTCGGGGGAACGGGGACCTCGTTAGCGTCGCGCCGGCGCGGCGGCAAGCACAGGTGAACGCAACGCAGGAGGGCCACGAAGAAAGGCCCACTGACCAAGGGAGAGTGGCGAGCGCGTGAAATATTCGAGGACTCCAGAGCGAGACATTCAGTCCAAGAGAGCAGGAGAAGAAAAGGCGTTGATGTGGAGGTGGCGATAGCGAGGAGAGGAGGGGAGCGGTCTCAAAGAGGACGACAAGCAGTAGAGTGCGTCCGCGCGCCCGACCATGCTTGTCGTAGACGCCCGCATAACATTGACGTTGTCCCGCCTGCGTTAGCCGCGCGGCCCTTCAACGGGTTCTGCGAGAGACGATGAGTGAAACCGTCGCGGTAGCAGAGCTGCAGAGCCCGGCGCACCTTGAGCTCCCCCGATTGCCCCGGCAACGTTCTCGCCCTGTCCCGCCCAATATCTTCTCTTCCCCAACACGTTGCTCACGAAATCCGGAGCCGACAACGACATGTATAACACGCGGAGGCCACCCTGGCCGTGCTTGCATCCGGAGGCGAGAACGCGCGCGCCCTTGTGCGTGTCGGGGAGACAGTGAAGATAGTCACGGGATCTTGGCTGCAAAAGCTAAGCCGCGCGGCCGGTGAGGGGCACATCTGACAATGCGGCCTGCGAGTGAAGATTAGCGGGGAGGCCGCAGTACTCAAGCAGCGCGGCGCACCCTGGTCCGGCCTCCCGTCCTGTCCTGCCCAATCCCTGTGCTTCCCACGGCACTCCACCGCATTGCTCGCGGAAACCAGAGCCGGCAGCGCGGTTTTCAGCCCGCGAAGGTGACCATAGACGCCAACGCGCTCCCCGCGCGCTGGTGTCCCAGTGCGGCTTCGGTGCCGATGAAGGGAAGAGCGAAGGCGTGGCCGCTTACGTGGCACCGGTGATCGGCACGCCGGCGCCCGGCGGGCAAGTACCATCAATCTGACCCGCCCTTCTGCACGACGACGACGCGCTCGTTGCGCTCGCGGCCGTGGGTGCTCTCCCTCGAGTCACCGGTGCCTAGAGCGACACCGGTGGGGCTGGAAGCAGCCACCGGCGTCCATCGCGCATCCTCGGCGCATCTTCACATGATGCCTGCGTCCCGCGGACAAGGATAGGCCGTCTGCCTGTTGAGGATTCATAGACAGGTCGCGGTGAGAGAGCGACAGACTCACCCTTCCCGCGCGGTCCTGCGCAACCCTGCTCCCGAAACCATTCCAGACCAGCCGCAAGCATTGCGTGGCACCGGCGATCGTAACGCCAGCGCCGGGCCCTTCTCTCATCCGCTCCACACGGATGCGCTCGTTGCGCTCCAGGCCAGTTCGCGTTCTCCGTCGCAGAGGTTGACACTAGTACCAGCCCTCGAACAGATATCCCCGCCGCGACAGCAGTTTCGTATTATCCGCGTTCTCCTTCCATCAACACAGCCGGGCGAGGGCGAGGCAAGCACGAAGAGTGATTGTAAGCGGTGTTAGGCGGAAGGCAAGTCGCTCTTGCGCTTCCTCGCGTTTCAGGTGGACGGACGCGTTTGCGAGCGGGGAATTTTGTTGCGGCGAGGTACGTTGGCCTCCCGGGCCCGTTGGAAGCGTCGCCGCAACGCAGCGGCGAGCACGGATGAACGCCACGTAGGAAGACCCATTAAATAAAGTAGATGTGGCGAGGGCGTGCAAGATTCGAGGACTCGCCAGAGCGAGACCACCAGCCCAAGAGAGCAGGCCTAGGAGAAGGAGAGGCGTTGATGTGGAGATGGCGATGGCGGGAAGTGGAGGAGAGCGGTCTCAAAGAGAACGACAAGTAGCAGACTGCGTCCGTGCGCCTATTCGGCGCCTGGCGTAGACACCCGCAACACATCGACGTTGCCCCACACCGCCATCGTCCCTGCGTCAGCAGCGCGGCCTTTCGACGGGTTCTGCGAGAGACGACGAGTGAAAACGTCGCGGTAACAGAGCTGCAGAGCCAGGCGTACCTCAAGCTACCCCAATCGCCGTCGCAAACCTCCCGCCCCGTCCCGTCCCGCCCCGCCCAATCTCTTCTCTTCCCCACCACGTTGCGCCGGAAAACCGGGGCCGACAATGCCACTGGCAACCCCGAGGGTATCCTGGATGCCCACGCAAGCATCACGCGTGCTTGTATCCGGAGGCGAGCGCGTCGGCGGCGAGCACATGGAGGGAGAAGACAAGTCGCGTGTGCTTCCGTGGCACCGGCGGTCGGCCCTGGCGGCCGCCGAGTGACATCAATCTCTGCCACGTGTCATCGCCCTTCTCTCTTCCGCTCCACGACGACGGCCAGTATCGTGCAGCATGCTCTCCACGACGTTGGCCCCTCTCACCCCGGCACGGATGGGGGCGGCAAGTAAGCTGGTGGAGCTGCGGTGCGTCTTCACATGGCGCCAGGATTGTTCTCACATAGCGAATAAGATCGCGCGGTCCCGCTGCTGTAGCCTGCACGCCGAACTACATCGCCAGCGTTACCCTCGTGGCACAACATCCCGGTCGCACTCTCCGCACTCCGTTCTCACCCGTACCCACGAAATACTTCGTGACTTCCACTTGCCAAGCTGCACTGCTGCCCCGGTCTCTGCTCGGCCCCTATCACCCCTCCCTCCCGCCGATCCTAGCCCAGACCGACATAGCTGGCAAATCTCCGCATGCCTCCAACACACCTCGCCACGTCTGCGCTCTGTCGCAGCCTCATCGCCAACAACGTGCCTCACCACCAGGATTCTGCATCTTGACTCTCCTCAACAGTCGAGCCCATTGCGCGAATAAGTCCGAGCCGAGTAGAGCGTTCCGCTCCCCGGGGCCCGCTGGGGAGCTCTACGGCTACGAAGGTTTGGAGCGGGAAGCAGTGGTCAGCGAGGCGGACAATCGGGGAACGAATGCATGCACCACCCACCCATCCCGCTCTCCTTCCCATTATCTCCAAGACGACAACAACCAACGCTTTCGTATTACTTTATCTTCACTTGCGGTAAGCCCGCCATGGCCTCTCGAGCTCGGGCCGCGCGCGCTGCGTTATCTCTGACCAAGCTCTCCGAACGCCCGTTGTTGTTGGGCCGGCGCAACGGCGTGCGGCTTTCGTTCCGCGCGCGCGTGAAGCCGGTGTACTGGATGGTTGAAGAGCTGCTCCGCGTCTAAGACGGCGAGCATTAATGGACGGAGGAGCAGAGCGGAATGGAAGCTTGTGGGTAGATACGCAAGGCGGCGCCGCGGCGCTTCGCCTGGACGGGCGTCGGACAGATTAGGCGGATGTCACGAAGAGAGTGATACTATTATAGGCGCGATGGGCGAAAGAAAATGAAGGGAGCGGTTCACGCACAAAAAGATCCCGTTCAACGCGGCCGATGCGATGTGCGCCATGACCGGGGAAGAACAGTCTCGCTCGTGCAATAATGACTCGTCCTGTCGCATTAACAGCGAGTCAGGACAAAAGTTGGCTAAACGGGGGACAAGATGCACCTTGCAGCGCGCTTCAAATTCCACCTGCTAACGAACCAGCAATCCGGTGGGCTGACAACGTCAGTGACGATGACAAGAGGCAAGCGTTGGCCAAGCGCAGCATGTCGCAGTCAGGCAACAGGCAGTCTTCTATTGAAGGACAGTGTGTGTCAGCGCGCACGCGCACTGCTGAGAGGTTTACACGCACCGCCGCCACGACAAGTGCGGCCCCGCAGCCCTAGACGCCCAGTCCGCCCCAACGCCAACCCAGCACCGCCAATCCATACCGCCAGCGCAACTCTCTTCAGCGGCGCCTCCACCGGATGACTATCTCCAGCCGGCACGCGACCTCACAGGCAACGGCAAAGAGCGTCTCCGTCCCATCGTCGCGGTCCTTGTCGCGGGGCGGGGAGTGGTGCGGAGGAAAGAAGCGAAAAGATCTGCGTGATTGACGTGGCGCGCACGGACCATGCCGGCCGCACGTGCCACGTCAAATGCTCCTTTCCTTCCGACTTCCATGTGGCAACGACGACGCGGTGCGTGTTTCGATATTTTGCCATATGCGTTCGACACGGGCGTGTGGGCGGTGTATGGGGTGGCTCGATAGCCGCCCCGGGTCCATCAAAACCGGGATCACAGCTTCTACGCTGGCGATAAGCCTGAAAGCCTTGCTGAAAGCAGTGGGGGAGGGATTCGGGATTCGGGACGCGGAGTGTGAGGCGGCGCTGGAGACTCTCGTATAGGTGCGTTGAGCCTCTCGAAGTGTTCTTTCCCGCCTGCTGACTGGATTACCTCGGATATATGTGCTCAAAGAGGCGATTAGGGCCCCTGTCTTGCTGCTTTCACAACAACTGTAGCCGCTCAACTGAATCTTCGTCGTCAACAGCATCGCGACGGGTCCAACAGGACTTCACTCTATCTTTTACCACCGCGAAGCTGCCGTTTCTCTGGCTGCTGTACTCCTCGTCATAAGAGTCTCTGAGTGGAGTCACTGACCGCTCTACTCGACTCCACTGATTCTGCCTGCTGTCTGCCTTACGGGCCTGGTACCTATCCACCACCGGTCTCCGTGTCGACCTCGGTCGTCGGTAGCCAAGCTCACTCCCTTTTGAGCGCTATGCAGACGCGTTGCCGACGTACCTGGACGACTGAGGAGCTGCCCTGGGTTGATGATCTTCGCGAATACTTAGCGATTCTGCCCTGGAGCTCCGGACGGAATAGATGCTATTGGCTGGGGCTGTGGTCGGCTGGCACTGGTACCTGAAACAGTGTTGGTGACGCTTGCCGCACGCTACGGTTCGCTTTTGTGCCTACTAAAGGGCCCCGAGCAGTTTGGCAGGGTCTTAAGTTCTCTGGTACCCACAGCGCTCGTTCACGGTCTGGGGCTTCAAGTTTTTGAGTGGCAGCGACCTCAAGAACTGCGACGACTCGACGAGCCGAAGCGGACTCTACCCAGGCATCATGTAGCATTATATAGATGCCTTTCCGACGAGACATATCCTGCTGCTCGATGCCAAGGTCGCGATCGTTCCGGCAGCAGGGTGATTGCGCCACTCGGAAGCCCCTGTTTCCACCTCGCGTAACTTACTTATTTCGCGCACTGCATACCGCGCCTCCTGCAGTGTCCTACCTCGGCACTGTGATGGAACACGGAAGGCTTCTGTTCGACACAGAGACGCGTGGAATAGCGAGAGATTGCTGGGTGTATTCTTTTTATGTTCCGCCTCTTAAAGATGAGGTGCGCCGCAAATATCATGGATAACACCATCTCTGAAAAAAGCAACCCTGTGTTGTCAACATCAGATGGATACCTCCACACGTCGCCGAAGAAGGGCTTTCGGGCCAGCACTGCATGGCTCCAACAGGTTCAGCGTGGAGACAATTATGTTACACAGCTGCCTCTTTAATACTCAAGGGATCTCTCCAACAATGCTACGCAGGACGTCCATCCGGTCCGAACGCGCATATACTGTCCTATTTCGGTCAAGTGTCCGCGTTACGCGTTACACTGGCCAAAAAAGTCCCCGCCAAAAATCACCATAAATCCAAAGAAAATTTTTTGGTCCCAAATTTTGAAAAAGTGGCGGACACTTGATCGAAATAGGACAGTATAGACTTCCTACAAGGGCAACGAGCTCTACCATGACGGACGACGGCGGGCCGCGACAGTCTTCAGGCGCCAAGAGGGCATACTGCTCCGAAAACGGCGCGGGTGGGAGATTGCGAGCGTGAACAGAAACGCGCAGCGCAGCAACCAAATGGGGAGCGCAGCAAGGGGCTCCAGGCGCGCCGCGCTACAGCCGCGGGGAGGCAACAAAGCCAGTTGACCTCAACCCGAGAGAGCATGACTGGAGCGGCACGATTGAGATGGAGCAGGCAAGAGAAGCCTCGGCGTTGGTTGGAGTTCGTTGTCGCGAAAGGTATCAGTGAGGCAGAGGGCGCTGCGTGACAAGGAGCCTCCATCTAGCTGGTCATCGCGAAACTGCTCGCTAATCGGCAGTTATCGCTTGAAGTCAAGAATGACAAGATTCCAACGTCCGAGAGGAGCAAGGAGGCAACGAAGCGAGGCAGGACGAGGCGCATCTGTAAAAAAGCGCTCGCGTCATCAGCAACCAGTGGGATGGTCCTGTCGTCCAAGATTGGAGGCGGTGATTCTCCCGACTGGCCTGCAGCCCTTGCTGTTGATCCTCGAGGAGCAGACAGTGAATGTCGATAGGTGGAAGGTTATACCGGTTTCGGGACCTCCCGAGCATCCGACCAGCGACGAGCGCCAGTTCCGTGCAAAAATACACTTGTTGTTGCCTTCAGGTCTACGACGTACGTCCACAATCTACTTGCACTATATATATCAGTTGTGCACCGTTCGCTGAACCCAAAATAAGACGCACCATTTATCGCTTCAGGCTTCCAGCCTCTTCCTCGATATCCCCGGACTCCCGCTGTATCCCACATCTCAACGCCCCAGCCAGCTCACCCGTTTGGTCCATCGCATAGATGTTTTGGCCGTCGAAGAGTAGCGCGTCGTAGGCTGAAAGATAGGTTCTGCTGTTGAAGGTGAGTGTACGGTAGACCGCCGGAGTGGGACGTGGAGTACAACACGCACCTTGAGCGCTACAGCCGTGAGCCCCCAGCCCTCGACGCCTCCCGGTCCGCTCCTACGGACCTACACAACCGCGCGCTGCCCAATCCGTGCCGGCAGCACCACATCTCATCTCCACGCACCAGCCAGGCCCCACCAAGTATCTCAGCTCATTACCCTCCAACGCCGGTGTCCTCGTCCTATCGCGGGGCTCCGTCGCGGTCGCGGGGCATGACGGGGAAGGAGAAAAGAAGCGAGTGGATCCGCGTGATTGACGTGGCGCGCACGGACCATGCCGTTCGCACGTGCCACGTCATCCGGCTCTTTCCTCCCGACCACCATGTGGCAACGACGATGTGGCGCGCTGGGCGACGTGCTGGGGCGTACGGCCTTGCGGAGGCGTCGGTGCCGTTCAGCGTGGGCTCAAGCACTGTCATGGGCCGATAGAGACGATGGTTGTAGGCGGGAAGCGAAGTCGATGCCTGCGGGTGGGGATACGGCCAGAGGCCGCCTGCAGCGCTGGAGACGCTTGCTTGACGAGTGCGTCATGCCTAGGAGGTGCTCTTTCGCGCGTGCTGACTTATTTCTAAAGCGAGGCACTTTGGGAGGATCTCGGCTTTCACAAACTCTCAAATTGTGAAGCTAGGCGCCAATGGACGCGCATCGGAGTCCCAACTGCTTCAAGTGGATCCGTCGCAGAATAACCCTGCGACAGAATCACCTCTATCGGTGTTCGATCCCGCCGAACTTCATCATCGTCCGCGTCAATATTACCGCTATTTCACTGCGCGGCGCGCGACCATGCGCTGTTCTGCGCCGCTGGATTGTTGGCGTTCCACTACTGACTCCTCGTCATTGGCTATCACGGACACATTCGTCACGGTCCTTGTCTCTAGCTCAGTCAGCCATCCGACCAACATGCTGTCCTGGCTGCCTCCTCCGACAGCGAGACACTGGAAATCAAGCAGCCGCGCCACGCGCGCTGACATGTGAGGCGCCGGAAACCAAGCTCGTCTTGCCGCTCTCCCAGGCACGTCATCTAAGGTGGTGCGCTAGCGTCTCGCAACCATGATTCTGGGCGCTTTCATGCGGAACGAAGCTGTAGCGTGTGTCATTTCTCGTCCGTGTTTTTTTTCTCGCAAATCTGATTCGTTCCTCAGTACTACTTTGCCCTTGGCGGTACTCCTCCGACTGTGTGTAAGTACTTTTTTCATCTTTGCTGCGTCTCTGACGTCAAGTTGAAAATGCTTCGCAGAACCAGGAACCTGATGGGTGCGATAGGGAGATGGAATGATAGAATGCCTCTCAGTGCATCATCGCACTGCGCGGCCAGGGGTGGGATCATCTTCCCGATCACCTTCCGTGGTATTTTAGGACTCATTTCCCGCTGAAGCCAATCCCTCAAGTTACGACACGACTTCAACGAGACGCGAAGACGCGCCGGAGGGACTGCTTGTGCTTGTCAAGGTCGGCCCGGCCGCAGAGTACAGTGCGGTTCGGCCAGTTAACATCAGGCTGGAAATAGCGCGCTGAATGCTCCTTGACAGATGTGATGTCCACGACTATATATGACCTCCGATTCCTCCCTCTACGCGCTGTCCTCTTGCCCCGGATCCTTTCCCTTCTACTTCCCTTCCATGACTCGGAGAGTGGCACGCAGGACGGATGGCTTCAATCCTGCGCCCGGTCTTCTCGACTTGCGGGCGGAGGATAGTCGTGGGCCTCCTCCGCCTCCCGGGCCGCCGCCGCCGCCGCCGCCGCCGCCGCCTGGACCGCCTGGCACACCTCCCGGCCCGCCTCATCCGCCACCACCGGCTCCATCTCGAGCGACTACTACCAGTAAGGACGCACAGTCCTTCCAGTCAGCAAGTTAAATTTGACTTCTACGCGCCAGCCTGAACCATCCTGTCGTTACTCCATCAACACCCTCCGCCGCTTCTCGGCTGACTACAACAATCTCTGCTTCGCTTCTCCACACCTCATCCGGATCTGCTGGTATCTATATATCTTCATTCGTTGTGTTGAACGATTTATTCTTTCAGCGTCATCTTCAGTCACACCATCGGCGGTATTTGGCTCTTTGGATTTCACAAGTACATTGCTAGGTGCGCTATCATCTTTCTGTGCTTGTCATCCTGACCGAGACACAGACTCGAGTCCCTCGTCATCGGCATTCCCTCCAGCAGTAGGTATCGCAAATCTCACTCGTTCTTCAGCCCTTTCCGCCGGCGCGGTTGCCGCCATCACCATCGCCCTCGCGGCACTCATCCTCCTGTTGATCCCCCTGGCGGCATGCTGCTGGCGCAGACGAATGACCGCAGCGCACACGCGTCTTGAGCATCCTGCAACGGCACTGCCTCTACCCACGAGCGATCTCTCTAGCAAACGCGCCCTGTCAGGTCTCGGGCGGCCGTCCCCCGCAATCAAGCTTAAGAAGGAAGCGAGTGATAAACATACCGCATACGATGCAGCCGTCGCCGCAGTCTACAGCAGAGACGGAACAAGCCTTCCTTCCCTCGAAACTCGCCCTCACCCGCGTCCACTCCCGATACCGGGCACGCCGGTGCTGGCGCCGTTGAACTCATCAGCGACTTTGTATCCAGATGTGACGGGGCGTTGCTCGGTGGACACGCTCCCGCCGTACACTGGTAGTCGACCATCGCGAGAATAGAGTACACCTTGGTCATTGTGTGAATGGGTTTGAGGGGACAATATACTACCAAATATGAACTACGCAATTTTCCTCTCCATCTTCGTGAAGACCAAATAACTATTTCCAGAACGGTACTATTTCCCTCCGACCAGATGGCTCTTTAAGCCCTTCCTGCTCGCAAACCCCGCCCGCACCCGGGACACACCGCCTCCGTCACGTCCAGGCCATTACGCGCCGTCCACGCCTCTCCGACGACCGTTGCTATGTTGCTTGGTGTAGGGCAACAGACAGCGGACAGGGCTACAGCAGCGCCTCGATCTGCGAGCGATGGAGAAGCCGGCGTGAGATTGTGATTTGGGTCAAAGCGGACACCTGCGGCGGGCTTAGTCAGTGTGCCCGCTGGGGCCGGCCGACTTCGTCGGGCTAGGAGATGGCTTCGGTTGTGCGAGAAGGGGCGGCGCAGCCATCTCCGTCGCGAAATCGTACACAGGGCCTTGCGGGAAGACTAGCCGGTCTCTGCGAACAGATTAGATTAGTGATTTTTCTAAGGTGGGATGGGCATTGACGCACTGCAAAGCCTGTGCATCGGCCTTCGGCATGTTGTGCTCGACCGCATCCATCAGCACGAGCTGGTCGACGTCCCTCTGTATGTTGCGAGAGCAGCTGTCGCGGTGGCTCGAGGTTGTCGTTGTACGGGTAGGATTCGCCACAGTAAATTCATTGTCGAAGGTAGAAAGTGTCGTCTTTGGGAAGTGTGCGCCGTTGTGCCCGGGATTGCTACTCCCATGGCCGGTAAGTGGGGGAGAAACGCGAATACTTGCGACGAGGCAATGCAACGCACTATAAGATACCCCCTCTGCTTCCCCCCCCCGCATTTCCGACGACAAGACCGTGCCGACAAGCCGATGTGGGTGAGAAAGTCGACGGGTATCCTGGCTGCGCCTCTGCCGCCGTTAGCCCAACGTCTCCAGGACTATCAGCGCCCTTCTGCAACGAATGTGGGTCTTGTCGGCGACCACGAGCGTTGGATGTAGGTGATCGTTTGACTCGCCTTGAAGTTTCTAGCTCCCCCCATGTTGACGGCTCGCTCGCTGCATCCTCCACCTCAACACTTGTCAGCGCACAAGGAGCCGCGACTAGCAGGTCGCAAGCAGCAACAGGTACGCTACTGCTAGAGAGGAGCTACATTAGCGCGGCTCTGAAACGATGCAGCACACACACCTTCGCCCTAGACGCAATCTACTGCGCCCTGCGCTCTGCACAGCTCGGCGTTTCCCAGTATGGCGAATAGACAGCCCCAGGCGTCAGCGAGACAGCTCCAAGTAGTGCTGCGCGAGGGGTCCACCACCAGCTCACGGATGATCAGCATGCACGTCCCATAGTGGGGCTTTGTCGCGCAGGGGCATGAGGGGCGGGGGAGAAAAGGAAGAGGGATCCGCGTGATTGACGTGGCGCGCACGGACCATGCCGTTGGCACGTGCCACGTCAAACGCTTCTTTCCTCTCAACCACCATGTCGCCGGGCGCGCGTTCGACTCAGACGCCTCGGCGGCGTGGGATATGCATGAACACATAGTCTGGGTTACTGGACACGACGATTGGATCTGGCTGGAGCTTATACGTGAAGCGGCGCTGGAGACGCTCGCATTGCGGTGCGTGGGGCCTTATATATGCGTGTCCCACCATGCCGATGGTGCTATTTTATCGCTCGCAGTTGCTAAACACCATCCATTTCAGTCCTTTCAAGACGTGCCGTCGAAGGCGACGCACCCCACCCAGAGGAGAGACTTTTTGACGAAGACGCGCTTCGGATGGGTATGGAACCAATAGCGTGCCCATAGTTGAAGCTAACGCCGGCGGCAGGCGGCCCAGAACGCCTTGAAAGCCACGCTGATACTCTGGATTCTGGACGAAGCTCATCCGCAATGTCGACCGCCGCTGCCTATACTAACCGCTTACCGCTTGACGCCACCTTGCGATAGGTTTATCTTAACACGAATCACCACTGCGGGATCAGCCCGCCTACTTGATCCTCTGCGCTGACTAGTGCTGGTAGTCTCACATGCTGATTGACATTGGCTTCTGTTCGTCTTGACCACGAGCTGCTTCTGCGGCAGAGTGGCCCCGCGTGACGCTCGAAGGGCAGCGAGGTTCGCAGACCTACGTGGTGCTGAGCTCTTCTCGCTTCGGAAGTTGCTGCTTCTCCTCAATGCGTAGTTACGGAGAGGATCACTCCAAGTCGAGGTACGTTGGCTCAATTTTACCCGCAATCCGCTGGCACTAAGAATATCCTACCACACAGAGATTATACCACATTGACGGTGCATCTACGTATGTTCAACGCATGCTTGATGAAATGAGGAATTTGCTTCTCACTTTTATATCTTCTATCCTAGTTGCCCATTTCGCCTGCGCCTACCCTTTTTAATACCGACATCGGAGTCCGGACACTAGCTGCCGCCCCTCGAATACTCCGACAACGTCGTCTCCGACCTCGCATCCTCACACTGCCCTTCCTGCTCCCTCCCGATTGCGTTCACCTTCGCCACTCTCAGCTGCGCCTGCAGCAACGACATCCGTGATCCTGCATCTGCTGCAGCAATTCGCTGCTGTCCGTCTCCCCCACCACTGCAGAGGTCCCTCGAATCTCGCCATCACTCATCCGCTTGTCCCGCGGGTCGGCGCGCCTTCATGAGCTTGCGGATCATCTCCTGCTGCGACCGGCCCACCGCCCGTGCAAACGCGTCAGCGCAGCGACAATACGCGTACCCCGAGGCGTTACGCGCAGGTTCGGCGCCGGCTCGAGTGGCCAACAAAACACAGCGTGAGGGAAAGGAAGGCGGTGACGTGGGTGCTGCAGATGGCCAGTGGTGGAGGGATAACAAAGACGCAGACGCAGACGCAGACCGAGTCCGTGCGCCTTTTAATAACGCGCGGACACCCGCAATACAGGCCCTTCAACGCGGTCTACGATGAGTGGCGATAAGTGAAGGGGTTGCGGTGAGATAGTCGCAGAGCCAGGCGCACCTTGAGCTACCTCAATCGCCCTTCGCAACCTTCACGCCCCCCCCGGCCTGATTTCCCCTCTACCGCTCCCCACCCACCACGTTGCGCACGAATACCGAGGCCGGACGACGCCATTTGCAACGAGCGAAGGCCACCTTGGATGCCCACGCAAGCCGCGCGTGCTGGTATCCTTGAGCGAGAGTCGTGTCTTGGGAAGCTGCGCCATCCTTAAGCAAACCTGATCACGCGTTCTGCAAGGGACTCACAGGGAAGAAGTCTCGGTAAGCGCACCTCGCGCCACCCAATTCCTTGTCGCGGGACTGCGTCCACATGTCGCGTCGCCGTCCTTCTTTCTTCTACACGGGAATTACACCGCTCTCCCCACGCTCAAGCCCGTCCATCGTTGCCGGCTGCTTGAGCAGCGGAATTGCGTTCCGGAGTTCTTGCTTTCGAAGGTCTGGCGCGAACGTCAACAGGGTCCCCAGGCAGTGGAGAAACCCGATGGAAACAGCAACGCACTTCCTTTGCCCATATGTTGTCGCCTCCAGCACGCCATTTACCTTCTTCTTCTAATGCGCCAACCACGAACAGCTTTTCTCTCTCAGCTTGCTCCTTCAAGTGGGCCGGGGCAACGGCGATGCAGGCTGGAATCGCCACTGGGAGAAGCGGAAGCAATGTTGCCCTGGATCCCATACAGTTGTTGGTCCGTCAGCGTGCTGTGCATTCTGCATCACTACCGGGAAGTCGCACCGCGGTTGAGCGCCTTCCACGCAGATACTCGTCTCCTCGAACATGATTTTCCACTCTTCAAATTTCCTACCAGTACAGCGGCAAACAGAGACGACTTGGCAGGTGGCAAGCGCGAGAGGTAGGATGGGTAACAGACGGAGGCTGAGCGCGTGCGGGAGAGCGAGAAGACAACTTGAGAGGGTGAGGCAGCCAAGGTAAGTGGGAGAAAGGAGAGCGGTGACGTGGAGGCGGGAGATGGCGAGGAGTAGGCCGATTCCTGGTGCGTGCGTTTGTTGGACAGCACGCGCGCGTGTGTGCTACAGGCCAGGAAGACATTGACGCCTGCCAACCCTTTCGCCGTCTTGCCTAGCAAGCCTACCACGGGCCGTGGCCGTTTCGTTCTGCGGGTGACGATTAGTGGAAAGGCTGCGGTGAAGAGGCTCTAGCACGGTGCGCACCTCGAGCCACCCCAATTCCCGTTCGTGACCCTCCCGCCGCGTCCTGCGCGATCTCTCCTCCCCACCCCATCCCGCGTCGGTAATCGCAATGACGGCAAAGAGAGTCAGGCTAGACGGCAACGCAGACCGCACGTGCTTGTATCCGGATCCCGAGCGCAAAAGCGGGGAGGAACATGGAGGGAGAAGACAAGCTGCATGTGCTTACGTGGCACCGGCGATCGGTACCCGGCGGCCGGGGAGTGACATCAATCTCTGCTGTCACCGCCCTTCTCTCTTCTGCTCCACGATGACGACGCACTTGCCAACGCGGTGTCCGCGACGTTGACGCTTGCTATAGCACGGATGGCGGGTGGAGAGTAACCCAGTGGGGGACATGGGCATTCTCGGTGCGCCTTGACATGCCGCGTCTCACATACCGGACAGGGACGCGCGGTCTTACTGTCATGCTGACGACGTATGTGGCTGCCTGAGGCTGTCTGGCTAGTCCTTAACGAGTTGCGGATCTACATGTGCCACCCGACATGTGCAGCTACGGGGGCGGTTGCGGGCACGGGGTGGGCTCATCGAAGGTTCTGGACGTTGGGGAGGAGGCAGAAGAACTCCGCTCGACAAGTCCGCCTTTACTGGCCATCCAACAACGCTCCTTCCGAGGCTCAACACGGCTCCCTCTGGCAAATCCCGATGCGCGCTTGAGCCCTACGGCATCGGTTGGCCGTCTAGGTCTTCGACCACTCGCCAGACATGCAAAACCAAAGGCAGCCGCAATATTCTATCATGATGCCGTCTGTGGCTCATCATCGAACTCCACGGCTACCTATCTTGGCGTCTGGTGGCTCCGCGTTCGACACGCATACCAGCGATATTGTCATGCGCAATTTTGCTGCCATCACCGCACCGCCGAAAGCCCGAGCACCTCCCCCATGAAGCGCTGCCCCTTACGCATTATCAAGCTCCGTCACCGCCTTTTCTTCAACCACAGTGAAGAGGGGTGCCAAGACGGCGCACCGCACACCTCAACGAGCACAGCCATGGAGCTATTCAACACGAGCCGGACACGAGGAGAATGTGCCCACTTCCCGTTGGAACAACTCCGTGGGTTTGGCCTAAGGTCTGGAGCACGAGCCAACGGTCAGCAGAGCAGACGAACAGTGAAGGACAACCACCAGCTTGGTTACCCTTACCAACGCCCGTCCAACCCTTCCACGTCTCCAGCGACAACGGCGGGCGCTTTCATATTCATACGCCACTGCTCTTCCTGCTTTTCCGACCATATGACGCCTCCTGCGCGGCTGACGTGCGCCTAACGACTCGAACTTGTGGGGCACGGCACCTGTCACGGTTCCGGGTTCATTGGCATGGGTGCGGATTTTCCGTGAGATGCCGCCTGACTGGTTCTAATATTTGGCAGGAACCGGACAAGCGGAGGTCCTCCTCAGATAAATTTTTGGGGATGTCCACATCTCGGTCGTCTACCGACGCCACACCCGTTTGCCATATCGTCGCCTCGCTGCTTTATAGCCATTACATGGTCAACAATCCCCCCTTCAAACCTTCAGTGAAGCGCTGTGCGTGCAGCATATACGTCTTGATATAGGCTGCTAAACCTTGCTGTCCTAATCATTAGGCCACAAGCAACAGTGCGATGGGTGCACGTCCTGCGCGTGAATGCCAGCCACGACGACG